TAGATTGCTTTTGTTGAATCTGTTTTCACTAGAGGATCAGCCCTTCAGAATAATATGAAGAAATCAATAAATTATGGACCCAGTGAAATAAGGATTATTGTTTGTCATTTCGGGTGACTAAATCAGGCCTACAATCAATTATCTAGACCATATGTAAGAGTTAATATTGTAAAGTACAAAATGGTTGTTAATTCTCGCTTGAGGAAACTTTATGGTATTATATTAGGTGATATTAATAGATTTTTACGGATTAGTGGATCTAACAGGTTCCCACTTACTGAAAAGCCACAAATGTTTCAGAAAATAAAGGGGAATTCACAATCAGGGCTTTTTTGCAGAGTCTAGTATTAGTATGGGCATGTTTTAAATAAAAGGAAATGAGGGCCCGTCTATGTTTTCAGAATCTTAGGAATATGTTGATTAGTTCCAAAATCTCAACGTCGGAGAAAAAAAGTATTTTTTTTGGGATCGGTACGCAGAACATTCAAATTGTTTAAACTAAGCACTCCCAGAAGACACCTTTTAATGATAAGTAAAGATAGAAATCTATGAGAAATTGAAAACGATGGGGAATAAGTTAAATTTCCATATTTATTATTGAAGTTTGTTCGCACAATATACTGACATAATATCTTGTTTGTTAGTTTTCATAACAGACCAACAACCTTGGTAAATATGTAATGAACATGTAATCATAATCAACATATCCTTGATGTTCAGATGTGTTCAATAAGCCAACTACATAACGGGTCTGATATTTTGAGAATGTAATAGTACATTCTTACATTTCATATATCTAAGTGCAAATCAATTAATAAATCGACGTAACTGAGTACCTATCTCCGGAATGACTGCAGAAAAGTAAGTGCAAAAAAATAAAAAAACAATCATGCTAAAGCAGAAAATAAGGAGAAACTAGTAAAATAAAATGCTTTTATTAATGAGTGTTTCTTAGTACCTACAGCTGTTTCCATGAAATCATTGGGATACACCCCAAAGGTCCTACACCACTAAAGTTGTTGACACCAAAGGACTGTTCAAAGTCGTATGCGCGAGCAATCCGATTTGACGAATGCCCTTTTGCGTGGTCTGTCCCTAAATCGTTATTTTCGTAATTGTTTGCCACGTCGCGACATCTTTTGAATAGATTGTGAGTTAGTGAGAAAGAAATCTATAAATGACGAAGTAGAAGTTGAGTATTTCGATAGATGTCCCTGTTTTGAATGAGTTTCAAATTAAATATTTGAATTCTAAAAATACATATTTTCAACATGTTTCATCTATTATATCTATTTAAATGATATTCAAAAAAGAAAACAAAATTTAAGGGGCCTATCTGCGGCTTTTAATTCTTTAAATCTAGCTTTTTATCTTGTATGAAAACCTCAACTTTGATTTCTGTCTGGGTTGCTGGAGACTGGTTTATTATCACAACGACTATTTGAAACACAATTAAAAACTACCATGCTTCCATTCCTTCTTTGTAATAACTTTACTGCTCAATGACCAAGTACCCTGCACTTATGGAAAGTAATACACCAATACTGGCCAGTAGATCATTCACTCGATTGATTTCAGCAAGATCCTGCTGCTGGAACTTCCGTCGCAAGAAAACTTGCACAAATGTCTGTCGGTTATACTTCAATGTCCATCGTGATATCAGCCAAAGAAGTAGCTGTTCTACTGCAGGTAATTTTCAGGTTCTACTGCTTGGAATAACTGGTAGAGGTTGAGATTTCTACGGATGCGCAGAAGGGCATATTTTTGTTATTTGTTTCTTAGAAATTACGACTTTAAATCCCAAAATATCGACTTTTTCGAAATTCCGACCTCGAGTGGAAATTTCGAGTTGAAAAGTCGAAATTTACAAAAAATCATGTGGCGCGCTTTGGAAAGATTTTCAAGGAACTAGGTATGAAGGTGGTTTTTAAAACAAGTCATACACTACAGAGCCATTTGGGAAGTCCAAAAGACAAAGTCGAGAATTCGGAAAAGTCTGGAATTTACGAAATTGAATGTAAGGACTGCGATTCAAAATATTATGAACAGACAAAAAGATATATTGAAGTAAGATATGAGGAACACATAGCACACTTAAAATATGGAAGGCCTGAAAAGTCAGCAGTCGCCCATCATATTTTGTAACAAAACCATTCCATAGACTTCTGTTCATTAAGATTAGACAAGTCAACAACAACAGACATCTAGATGCCTATGAGTGTGGAAAAAAGTATTATAAATAACGATGGTGGACCAATACCTAATAGTATACTATATAGCATGTTAAAATAATATTTTAATCATAAGATTTACCTGAGTATTACATAAGGACATATTGTAAAACTAATTTAAGACTAGTAGATAAGGCAATATTGTGAAATCAATTTGAAACACTTAACACGCAGGTACTTAGACGAGGTATCTATGGTATAAATAAAGATAACTTTGTGAGTATGATTAGTTTGATCTTCCTCTTGAAGATGACCACTTGGTGATCGAAACACGTGTCGAGGTATTAAAATAACAGTTTGGTGTTGGGATTGAACTCCAATAATATTCATTACTATACCAAAGGTTCCAAACAGTGCATTACAAGTTTAGAGTAGTTGTTTATAGTTGTTTCTGTGTGGGTTGATTGGGCTTATAGGCCTTCTTTGTTGTTATTTATGGTATCATCAAGTTCAAAATAATTTCAACTGAGACATACTGATAGTAGTGAGAGGATATCCAAATCAATTGATGGATTTGTATGATGTTTAAGAAATAATACAGAATCACGTGGCAAATTAATGTGAGAGATGTTTTTATCAGTTCGTTATTTCTACAGAGAAAGCTACGTTGTTAGCGAAACGCGTGTACAAATGAAAAATAATCGTAAAAATTATTTAAATATTTTCATGAGTATTTCATATGCGTTCAAACTATTGTACCCATGCTCTTACATAGTTTGGACCACCCTGTATAACTTAAGTGACTTTTTGCAAGTTGTTGATTTTACAGAGAATATTTATAATTCGAATCAACAATACGGACGAACTATAGATAACAAGTTCCTGGGTGTGTAAATGATATCAGAAGCTGGAAACAAAGCGGAATTAAACATTTGTCACATCCGTGCTTGCTATCATTGTCATCGAAGAGATAAGCAAAATTGAGTATTTCACTCGCAATCCCCCTATGTTGTTCAATTGGATATTTTCACAAAGTGAAAAAATTCAATTCCCACATGTAATTTGAAGCGAAACAAATTTCCTTCATTGTTTCTTAAACGTACCTATAACTGGTAGTAAATTAGCTGAATAAATAAAATTAATTAATATTTGAATTTAGAGGATTAGAGAATTTCGTAAATCCTCTATTTTTCAAAAGACGAAGAATATTACTGGAGTTTTTTCCCAACACCAAACCGTTAATTTAACACCTCGACATTTTTTCGATCACCAAGTGATCATCTTCAAGAGGAACATCAAACTGATCAGTTTGATCTCCCTCTTGCCGTAATTAATAACTTCCGATTCGCAATTGGGACTACCTTTAATTGCTATTTGGAAATTGTAGTCTTTTAGAAAGGTTCCCTTGGCCGCATTAAACCTCTAATGATTTTACCTCTCGTTCTATATCGCCATCCAGAAGTAAAGATAAACTTTCCGCTATATGAACCATAAAAGTAATTTCTGTAATGTAATTGGTAGCTATACTCTGTCCATTCAACAAACAAATTAACCCAAAGAAAGATACATGCGTGATCAAAGTGTGATCACCACGCACATTTGCATCTATTGTGTAAAATGAACAAGCCCCCTTACGCTGGCCAATCAGATTTGACTGCATTCGGTTGGCGGAATTCATTGTTACAGTGTCGATTGGTCAGTTACGTTTTAACGCCTGTAGTGTGTATATCAAAGTATTTTAAAGTTTAAAATTTTCAAAATACGGCTGATAGTCGTTCCTTAGTGCGACTCTGTATAAGCAGCCTTGTCTGGGAGGTCACGTGCACAATGCATGATAATGTTTTGTAGCACTCTGCCACTTGGATGGCTGCTTTCAACCTTATGATTACCATCTAATTCTCAAATTCAATCATGTAATGTAATTTGTTTTAATGAGTATGTCTACTTGTTTTAATGAGTATGTCTTCGTATTTTTTTTTCTCAATTCATGACCACCGTTGATTGTGGAATCTTAAGATGTATATAGCCTGATTTTGATTGCGCCATTTGTTTTGACATGTCTATAAACCTTGTGTTTCTCAAGACGAATAAAGATATTATTATTATTACAGATTAAATTCTGCAAGTCTTTATAAAGCGGTGTTAGCAAGTTGAAAGTAACATAGCAACCATTTGTCAAAATAGGTGAGACATTAAGGTATCCTTTTAGAAGTTATTTCAGTTTGAAATTTAATATAATATATATTGGCCTTTGTGAGATTTCTTCTCACTTTTGAAGCTAATTTTTCACAATTTTGCACCTGGAATTCGATGTTTGCAATAAAAAAGTGAACAATGCTTTTGTTACCTTCCATTGAAACTAAGAGTACCTATGGATTCCATTTATTATGTTGTCTGGCAATATTTTGACTATTACCATTCTAACTTATATCATTTTGCTTACAAGTATTTACTCAAATGCGGAATAATAATCGATAATTGAACTTCATTTTGTAACCGGTAGGTGCGCTAATATTACAGCACACATTTCAATGACTAAAATGCGGATGGGTATGTTAACGGAAAATAAATTACTGAAGAGATAGGATCGGTGCAAAATTAAAAACGTGTTAGTCCTTTTTTTCACCAGAAAATCTTATAAGAGGAATGTACATGCAGGATCACGTGTTAGGAATCACACGTTGAAAGGCAAGACCTCGTTAGTCCTTAGCTCGCAAAAGTTTCGACTTCTGAGGGTTGTCGGTCGTAGCTGGTTAACGGAAAAACATATTTTAATTGTTACAAGAAACTGTAACTAGGTACCCATCTTTTGTTCGAAATAAAAATACATTTTCTCTGTCAGTTTTATTAAAATACACATTCAGAATATACTAGAATTTGGTTTAAAGCTACTCATTATTATATTTGTGAATTATACTTTCTTCCTTGATATAGAGTATTTTTTTTATTTTCTGCTTCTTTCAGAAGCAGAAATATCTTCTCAAAGTAATTCAATGTTAACGTAAGATTAGTTTTTCTCGAAACGCTTATACTAAAATTTGCGAAAAAAAAAATCAGAACTGACTAGAGGTATCATACTCTTGAAAACTTCAAATTTCTTCATCTAAAATGGCTAAAACTATTTTCAGCAGATAAAATTGAAAATTGAAAAAACTATCTAACAAAAATGTAGTGTGTTGTGACTACTCAATTTTCTTTATGTTTATTCACAACTACTAATCTAAATAGATATCTAATTCCACTTGTAATCACAAGGTTTTTCTTTGAGAAAGAAAATATCAGAATTTTCAAAGAGATTGTGATTTAGGCTGAAACATTATTTGTAATAGAATTAGATTGTCAGTTATTTCGAAATAACCTTTTTGGCGGTGGTGGCGGAATTTTCTTCAGGCTAGGTTTTTGTTTTAGATTCGGTTTGGCAGTTGGCGAAGAAACTTCATCCTTCGTTGGAAGGTCTTCTTTCCGAGAAGCAGGTAGTTCTGAAGGTTTTGGTTTTAGACTGAATTTATCAGACAGTGACAAAACTTTATTTTTCGTTGGAGGGTCTTCTTTTCGGGAAGCAGGTGGTTGTGAAGGTGGTGGTACTAAAGTTTCCCCGCTACTTTTCCCCACTTCACCGTTTAACTGTCTAATCTGAGGTTTAAGATCAGAAAATACTTGATAAATCGAATCTCCACTTCCAGCAGAAAACGAGTCTAAACTTTTTGTTGAATTGCTTAGAGACCTACTGGCCTTGCGCCCCCCTGACATAACATGGTAAGAGTCATCCTCTTCATCAGAAAGGGGTTTTGGCGGTGGTAAAACATTATTGTTTCCCGTATTCGTAAATATTTCTTCGTACGATCCCAAATCTTCGTCTGATGAATGATTCGTGGGGGTAAGAGGTTTTACAACTGGGGGAGATACTCTTTTGGGTAGTTTAGGTTTATTAGTGCCTGGCCTTCCAAGAGGCAATGGTGGTTTAACAACAAATACATTTGGAAATACCGTCATTGTTTTTGGAATGCTGCCTGGAACGTCTCTGAAACAAAGTAATCATACATTAAGGCAATTGGCATCGGTCTGAGGTCATCATACTGTAATAAGGAGATCTTCGACCTATTGAAAAATTCATAGATATGAAATATTATTTGTAGTCCGTCAATAACCAGTCGACACAAGCAATCCAGTTCAATCAAGATAAAACCTCCTTGAATAGGGAATAGATGGCCATAAAATATCTAGAGGATACACTCCTGAGATATTCAAAGATACTATAAATATTCTAATACTTTTCCATTGCTTTATTTGGCGATATCTTCTCAATTTACGTGTATTATTCCAATGTTCAAAATAATTAATTTCGATCTGAAGTTTGTTCTTGTTATAGAAAGAATATTTTTCTTGAGAGAGTAGATGGTCATCATAACAATATTGCACATAGCACATGATATAACATTGAGAAATAGAACACGATTCGAAAGTCTATTATTTTGCTTTTAACCTGAGTTTCTGTCCAGGGACGTTTTGCAATAGTCAATATGATAGATGCCATATGTTTAATTACTTGTCATAGTTAAGGGTAAGATAGTTCTTTTATTTAAGAGTTTCTCTATTTCTGACAACCCATCCTCTAATGATTTTCCACTTTGATTTCATTATTGTCCATGTAAATGAAGAAGAGAACTGGTCCAAGGGCTGATCCTTGCGGCACTTCCAAAAAAAAATTTGAATAACATCAGTTGGCTGCCTCTAATGAGTTGAAAACACTTATGTAAAGGAAGAGGAAATTCATTTGAAATGGATGGAATATTTCGAGAAAAATATATCACTGACAATGGAAGATGGGAATATCGTACATTTTCGAATGATATAAATTACTGTAGGAATAAGGAAAGAAAAAAAGTTATCATCAATTATAAAATCTTATCCTGAGTAATGTGGATGAGATTTTATAATTTATGATGATGGATGAGAAGCACGTGTATATTATAGAATTATGTGTACACTGAATTGAAAAACCAATTCAGAGAAGAGGAAACTGAAGGCTTGAATTCCACACGTCAAACATATTATCACAACATCAGAAAATCGCGAAATACAAATAAAAAAGAAGTGAGGAAGAATACATTACCTATCAAAAAAAGTTTTTGAAAACATAAAATAGGTTTAGTACATATGGAAATCAAGAAAAGAATAGGGATCAGCAGAAGACAGATCGAAATGATATATTATACAGATGTGGAAAACAAGTAGCGGAACATACGAATCCCAATGCATTAAAATAAAATTTAACTACCAAATGAAAACTACAAACCTAATGTAATAAAGGTACAAATAATAGACCTTGTTGTTCCAAACAATAGCCAAATCTGTGTTAATTCATCATTCATTCATCAAGACTTGTAGCTCTTTGAAATTCTTGCCGGTAAGCTCCTTCTTTCAGATACCCCTAAAGATAGAAAGCATCTGGATATAAGTCTGGTGATCTGGGAGGTCACGTGAAGATATCAATCGACTAGGAAACGTATTTAAGAGAATTTGTGTCACTGGTCGTGCATTGTGACTTGAATAACCACCCTGTTGAAACCAGTTGCCCTCAAAATTGATAGGAAGTAGATTCAACCGTTGGAATAACTAATATTGTCATTCATTCGCAGCCAAGTATCACATATAGCAGTTCAGTAGAATATTCTTGTAAATAGTGGGCAAACACTTGTGAAAAAGATTCTCTAAAGAATAAAACAATGAATACAAATGTTGAATAACGAAGAGTTTAAGTGAAAATTTAAAATGATTTGACAGGTGGAATGACAACTGTAATACCGCGATTATCAATTTTTGACCATAAACTGTATACAAATCAATACAGGAGCAAGTTTATGTTGGAAATGAACTGAAATGTCTTACACATAAATCATATATTGAATAAAAGAATGAATAATTGGCTACCAGTTCGGTTTTCGGTAGAATGAAATGAAATGAAATTAGTTTCTAAATATCATAGTACAGATGAGAAGCAGAGTCTATCTGACTGTTTCACTGAATACTGGCGCCCGTGGCGTGATATCCATTAGAATAGCATAATACAAAGTCAAAAGATATAAAAATGAATGATTTTAATTATCCTAAATGAGTTATGTTCTTTTTCTATCAATTTTCTTTTTATTGTTGAGCATAATGTTCTTCAACTTGATTTTAATTACAGCTACACTCACGGTTTAAGTTCTGAATATATCTCATCTCCTTCCTCGTATATATCATCTTTATTGCTATGAGGTACAACGTCATTGCTATATGGATTTTCAGATTGAATTATGGGCATACTCTTTTTCTTCCTCACCAAGTCATCGTGGCATTTATTGATTGACACCACCCATTGCTTCATGTCCTTGTGTGTAAGGGCCATAAACTGAAATGGTGAAGGAATTCGTATTAGTAGAGGGAACATGAGAATTGATATCGTGTTGTTTCAAGAATTTGTCCCCATGTGTTTTTATAGCTCCATATCTCAATAAATATCTCTTGATGGCTACTGGTAGAAACTTCGTCAGTCAGGACCAGACAAAAACGGCCATCGTCGACTTCATCGAATCAAGAGCCCGATTTTTTTTCTGACGGAATTAATCGACTTTAGCGAAATTGCACTGATTCAAATGGCGCTTACTTCGATTAGATTGAATAATTTTCAAACAACGTAATATAAAAGACAAAACGGAAAGTATTAATTGTATTAATTGAATATAAGTGGAGTTTAAATCTTTTTTTCTGTTAATCAGCTGTCGCCCCCATACGAAGGACAACTCTCAGAAGTTGAGAAACTTGTGCGAGCTAAGGACTAACGAGGTCTCACCTTTTAACGTGTGATTCCTAACACGGTGTAAAATACAAATCACAGCCATTCATATTGGTAACGAACAGAAGACAGAACTGCCAAACAAAAAACATTTCGCAAGGATCCAAAAGCACATCCAAGTTTTTTTTGTGGGCGAGACATTTTTTGACCTGATAGTCATTGTAAAACTTTTAAAACTCCAAGTGGGGGTGTCATCCCCCAATGTTTTCAATGAAAATGGTAGTCAAGTGACTCTTATTGAAAAGAGCTTTCGATTGCCCCTCTCATTGATTTTTCTCTGCATTGGAGCTTTGAAATTTCAACAATAAGTTTTTGGAAAAATACACAATTCAAATCGAAAACCGTTTGACGATAGCAGGTGAGCGGATACCATTTACTTGATTATTATGGTGAGCTTTTGAGTAATATCTATTTAATTTTTGCATTTTTCGGAAGACATATTGTTTTGTAGGTATTTCAAATCTTGATAACGAGTGAACCGATTTCTAGAAGCGAGTTAGCAATATTTCAGGTAGAAAATCAAAAACCCTTCTCAAAGAGATATCAGTCAAAGCCCATTCCCATTAAAAAAATTGGAAAACAATGGTTTAAGGTTTTGCAATAGTTTTTAAACGTGTTCCCAGCATGAACAAAGTTGAAGTGTTTTTGGATTTTTGTGAAAAGTTCTCTTCCTAGCAGTTTTGCCTTGCGGTATTTTTTTGATGACACACCCTGTGTATTGATTGGTAACGATTTCATATTTGATAATATATTTCAAAGATAAAGTGTCATCACAGAATATTTCTTTCTATTCTGTGATATCGTATCATAAATGACAATATCTTACGGTGCCTGCAGTATAACGCAAATGCGCATGCTCACACGAGAATTGCAAATGCAGAATTTTCACCGTTCATGGTAAGGTTATGAAGTATTGAATTTCAAAATTCAAACAGCAGAACAGCACTTTTCATTTATTCTTATTGTTATTGAAAATTGAATGATTTGTCTAACAATTGGAAATTTCCTTGAAGGAATATAATGTTCTGTATCTGTAGAGTAGGGAGGGTGAGTGTAGGCCCACAGCACTTAGGCCACATGTAACCCATTGCACATTCTCCCGAGGAGTTGTCCTCGTAGGTCATCGTCCATCCTGTCCTTTCCAGGAAGGTGGACAGGTCACTGGGAAACATCTCCTTTATCGGCAGGTGTAGGCCAAGACTCGCCGAACACACACTCTCTTATTGACGATAACTCCGGGCACTCGCACAGGACATGCCTGACAGTTTCATCTTCCTGTTCACACATCCTGCATAGAGGTGCGTCCACTAGCCTCATATTGTGGTGACAGTGACAGTTGACAGTGACAGTTGACAGTGGCCAGTCAGAAATCCTACTGTTAAGCGTAGATTTTTCCTGGTCATCGCCAGATATTTCTTCGGCGCCAGCTTCGACCAGGGTGATCCTGGCAAGATTGCAAACTTTGATTTCATCCCATCACTTTAAGGATTGAGCATCGGTGTGACGTTTGGCTAGATCCGCAATTGTCGAAGTCATCAGGCCGTAGGTGCCACTGGGTCCTAAAATTTTTAGTCTAGCCGCTTCTTTGGCTAAAGAGTCGGCAATGCGATTACCTTTACTCCTGTCGTGCCCTTTAACCCACCTCAGGATAATGGCATTATACCGAGGCTTTCGCTAAATCTTGGTGGCACTCTAGTACTAGCCCTGAGGTAACACGTTG